AAATGTTTTCGCAAGTGATTCAGTTCTGAACTTCTGAATGATCAGATGTGGTAGCAGTTATTGAGGCAAGTAAAAAGTAAGATGGATCCTTCTAGTCAATAGACACTTTCCTATTAGGCTTCAAAAGCGGATACTAGTTCCATTCACTTTTCTTTTCTATATTTTCCTTTCAAGGAAGGTTTATAACAAACTTCAGCCTTTCCTGAAATCATTAATGCCCCACATATAACTAGTATGAATATGCCCTACATATAACAAAAGTCTCGATTATATCAGATAACTAGAAATTAAAGAATGGGTTTTGATGAAGTCCATGTTAACAGCTAGGTGAAGTAATTTATCTACTTGGAGGTAAGTTTTTGCACAGTATGTATAATTGATCATATCATCATGAGGGATGAAGAAAGAATGTAGTAGAAGAATCCAGACCAGATGAATACATACAAGTTTGATAATTTAGGCCAAACAAATAAAGCACCACTTTCCACCATCCACCAATGAAATACAACATATTTATGTTTATCTACACTAAAGGCGTAAAAGTTTTAGAGGTTGGAAAAAGCACTTGAAAGAGGTGTAAAAAAGCTTCTATATGATTTATTGGAATATAGCATCGTCACCAACTTTGAACATGTTATACATAACCACTTAAGGAAAAAGTTATGCTTTTTCTATATGTTATATTGAAAAAGCTCAAACATAACCACTTATAGATGCATAACCAATCTTTTTTGAAAAAAAAATGCTTTTGAAAGTTACAAAGACAAAGTTACACTTTTCCCTAACAAAGCTCAATGGAAGCAGCATTAGTTTTAACTAACCATAGCCTAACTATTTAACAGAGCAACAATAAAATGACCTCAGGAAATAAAAAACACACTAACCATAGCCTAACTATTTAACAGAGCAACAATAAAAATCAAAGCACCAATCCATATAAATTACTAACCTTCTTCAAAACACTCTTATAGAGCAAGATGAAATCTTCATTCTGAATTCAATAGTATAGCAGAGTAGATGCAACACATGACCAGCCTATTTAACAAAACAAGTTAAAAAAGAATACTAAAGTAGTATTGCTTAATTAATTATTTAATTAATAACTTAAGAATGCACTCCATTAAATAAGAATGGTAGAATCTACTAAGAATGCACTCCATCAATTGTTGGGTCAATTAACTGTACCGTGAATTGTTTTAAAAGCGGTACGGTTAACCGAAAAAATAACGGTTATTCGGTTTTTTTAAACGGTACCGCGGTTACGGTTCTTTTTTCCCACCCCTAGTATGATCACATGAAGTCATGAAGAGCAACATTGACTAGACAAATTTTCTATTCACCGGTTCTTTTCAAGTCACCATAAGAAATTTGAGACAATCATAACATAGCAAGTTCAATGAAAAGGCATCGATGAACTATGAAAAAGAAAACGAGTAACCTGAGTCTAGATCTACACCAAGGTTGCTCATAAGCTCTTCTGTATCTATTTAGTATCTCATCTTCAAAGTAATCCACCCCATATTTCTCCCCAATTTGCCTGTAAATCTGAAAAATTTAAGAGAAAGAAATAGAAGTCAATAAACAGAGTAATCAGGAAGGCAAGACTATGCAAAATCATTATCCTACATTACTAAGAGAAAAACAATAAGCAGTAAGTTGAAGGCAAAGGATCAAACATGAAATACAAACAACTATTTGCAAGCTAAACATTTTCTAATCAGGTAGAGAAATGTAAAAAAGGAAAGTGGTTGCTATTAAAATCAATATGATATGAAAATTTCAACAGCACCATCAACATCATAAGCCATAAATCATAAACAATGAGATAGTGGCTTCAAAAGAAAAATAACAAAAGTAAGAGGCTATCAATTTTAAAGAAAAGCTTCATATCACATTTTTTCGGCAACACAAAGAAATTCAGAAACACGCAACATTCAGAACTGTTAAAATATAAGGCCTGTATGGGTCAGTTTGGAGGGAAAATACTAGAGAAGAGAATGGGGGGATTATTGGAGAAATTGGAAAAAAAATTGCTTTCCTAAAATCTAATCCAACCCAATTTGCACCCTTCATACTCATTTATCACTTAGATTAACAAAAAGTATTGAATCATCAATTTGACATTAAATGCCCCTAATATAGGAAAAAGTAAAGCAATGTGCCAAACAGAACAAGTTTTCTTTTATTTGTTTGAATTCATATTTATTTGTATACTCCATGCTAACCATCTTGATGTTTGATGTTAACTTTATGCAGTTCTTTCGATTGATGATTTGGCGGTTCAGCCTCACTCAAGTAATCGGCAGCATCTCATATATATACTCCGTATAATTGATCTTCCCATGGAACCTGTGCGGACGCATTATAAGACAATACATTGGGATGAGAAACATTATTACTCTGTATTACTGTTATACTTTAATGCATATGGGCTGACTATTCAGTTCACCAATGTAAAATTTTATTATTCCTTATATTAGAAAAATTGCCTCTAGGAGAAACTATTAGGATTTCTTTGTACGGTTGAATGGCTGAATGTTTTGGCGTTGTCTTTCTATGCAAGATTCCTTTTGCTATTATATTTATATAGATATGGCAGATTCACCACAAAGTTTTTTTACTCACCAAACCCACTCCCTCCCAAAGCTTCTCCAGCAAGTAACCATGTTATGCCACAATCAGACTCCCAATTTTCTGCTCAATCTCAGCAGCCAAAGAACAAAGGGCTTATTTTCTCCTGGTTGTTCCTTTTGGTTAAAAAGAAAAGCAAGAGCCAATTTTCACCAACGAGGACAAAATCCTAAGATTTATCTCAAATCTATACTGATGACAACGATATCTGTAAAAAACGTTTCTTATTTGAAAATAATGGCATCTCAAATTCTCAATTCCCAAACGCGCTCCATCCATACAGGACTACAACAGATTGAAAAAAAAATATAGGGCATGAAAACCTTAATTTCATAGACACACTTACATGGCCATATCCTTAGTGCTGGTTCAGGATAATAGTGTCCTTCTTCTTCTTCAGGAGACTTTCTGAAAACTACCACAATTGAATGAATAAATGATTTGAATTTACCATGATTGAATCCAAGATCTTAAATTGAATGAATCAAAGATATGACTGGTTATTCTAGTCATATTAAGCTTAGCTAATCCAAGTTTACAGAGTTCAAGGAAGTACTTTTCTCCCAACAAAATGAACCAAATGCATACCTGAGAAGGCTTTGATGCTCACTCATTAGCATTGCCTACATGACATTTAGCTCACAAACTTTAGTTTCTCCTTCCTCTGTAGAGACTTGCCCTTTCTCAACAAGGTCAGTCTTATTCAAGTTGAAAATGAACCTGTAAGTTGACTTCAGATTCTGAAATTTAGCTTCTATTTCAGCTCACAGCTTTAGCTTCCAACTGTTACAAGTTTAGCATCTAATTCTGAAAATTAACTTGAACTTTAGCTTCTAATTTTGAAAATTAGCTTGAAATTTTTGACTTGTAATCAATCACAAAAAACATAGAAACCAATCTTGTGATTTCCACTCCAATAACGTAACAACGTCAACTACTGCCAATGTAGCTCTACAAGCAACCACGATTGTAGACTTTTAGTCCTCCAAAGTCATATGAAGTGGAACACTTAGTTACAACCAACCATTATGTGAATTTGTGAAACCACAGTAGAAAGAAATTAAATTGATCAATATAAAGATAACTAATAGAGCAGACCTCTAAAGCAGCACTTTTAACCACTTATCTGGCAACATCACCAACTGCTTCGATGTTCTGTAGGAGATAAAAGTAGTGTTAGATTTAAACAAGAGTATGATACACTAATACTCCCTCTATTCATATTTAGATTCTTGCTATTTTACATTTATGGTTAAAAAATCAGCACATTTGAAATGGGAAATCAGCAAATCTTGATCAAGTAACTAGCTGCACTTTTGAAAATCTAAATAGCAAGTAAACAACTTAGATGTAAAATAAGATGATAGAAGTCAACCAGAATACTGAACAAGGGAAAGACTTTAACTAAAAGAATGAAATAAAAAGTTGTTGGATGAAAGAATAAAACAATCGATCAAACTCAATAGAACGTTTATATCCTTCAGGAAGTGAAACAAGGCAAGTTGGAGAATCAACAGGACAGTGTCTCTCCCTATGTTCATAATGCTTAGTACTTCTGAGGTGCTTAATGGCATCCAGATTGTCAAGATAAGGGATAAAATCGGGGCCAACAGTGACATTGCAGAGCTTCCAGCTGTACCCATTCTCTGTATCAGATCCAGATGATTTCTGAGCTTCCTTTGCATTCTTTGATTCAGGTGCCAAAGTTGAAAATGCCCCATTCTGCGTAGTAGTTTCATTCAAGAGCTCAGACTGAGATCCGGAAGGAAAAACTCGTAGTTCGTCGGCGCTCGTCGTTGGCTGTCCTGGTCTTGGCCGTACTGGTCGCGCACTCCTCCCTCTTCACTCATCTCTGTGGAATTCGTTCGCCAGGGTTGGCATCGTTCAAACCAAAGAGGGCCCATATTATTTTTTCCGCCAAGATTCTAAATCGGGTGTAACCGATGTAAATAAAACTTTCGTTAATTATAAACTTTACCCCATTTTTTATTTGACATCGGTTACACATATAACTGATTTAAAATATTTAATAAAATTCTAAAACATACCCCGTTTCACTATTTAACATCAGGTATATAGCAATAACCCATGTGAAAAAGTTTATAAAAATTATAGAAAAGACCCGTGTCAGGATTTTACATGGGGTATACAATAACACATGTAAATAAGGTGATGTAAAAAGCCTTTTTTGTACTAGTGAATTATACGCAATATTTTATTACGATGATCGTAACGTTTATTTTTTTTCAAATAAAAAAGGCAACAGAGTTTGTGTGTTCTATCTTTGGTTATGTAATAGCACTTGTAAAAAAATATTAAAAAATGGTATGTACTAAAAATTGCAATTAAAATTTAAAATAAATGATAAGGTGTAACAATAAATTCCGCGAGATAATAAAATTAATAAATGATGACACTTGAGAGCGTCTCTCTCTAGCCATCCGAGGCTAGACTCTTCCCTCCGCGGTTTCTCCCGGGTCGGCACCACCTTTCACGGTGGCCGCCGCCGACGGAGCCCACCTGGCTCCGGCGGTCTTAAGGTATTATGGTTACAAATATTTGGAAAACTGGTTTTAGACCACCTCGGTGGTTCTGGGAGCTTGTTGGCCGGACTTCGCCGGAAATTATGGAGGACTTTTGACTATTGGGTTTCGTAGTTTGGGACGTCAGATAGGCTGAACTGCTGGTGGCCTGGGGATGAAAACTCGCCGGAAAAAACTGAGCTGCCATACCAACAGTCAGTAACGCCGGATGCCTCACTCTTGGAGGGGTCGAAGCAGTTTGGGTGAGCGACGGAGGTGAACGGGTTGGCCATGGTAGCTTGGTGCTGGAAGGTTTGGGGATTTGGCCTTTGGTCCCGCACAGGTTCGTTGACGTTGACTCCTTACTCGGAGTGTCTTGGCCGGCGTACTGGGTTGTGAGCAAGCCTGAGTTTGTAGCAGAGATGGCCAGAAGGGGTCTGGTAGTTCCTTGACTACTGGTTTATACTTCAGGGGAGGACCGTTGTGTTCCGCCGTCATCTTCCCCCTTTTCACTTCACAACCAGGGCGAAAGCTCTCCGGCGGTTGCAGCACCATCGTCTTCGGACCGGACGCCGGAATGGTTGGGGATTTTCTAAGTGTTGGGGATGAGTGGATGGGGACGCTCGTCTATGGCACTTCAGACTCCCAGAGTGCTAAGGTACTTGCTTGTTCTCCTGCTGCTTCTGAGAACTCGCAGGTCTCATTTTGTTTCAAGGGTGGTGGTGTTTGTTTGTGGCAGCCTGGGTGAGGGGTTCCCGGCGCAGGGCTTGGATGCGGCCACCACTCATAACTGCTTCGTTACGGATTCCGAGCTTGGCCAAGGCTGGGGATTTGGAGTTCGCAGTCACCGACGGTTTTTCCTCCTGAAAACTCGTAATTTTACTCCGGTATGATCGAGTTCGTTAACCTTTCTGGCCGTGGATGTTACTAAACTAAGGTAAGCTTGCTATTTTTGTTATTCCGCGCCTGGTTAGTCCGACGCTGGGGTTAGGGTCCCTGTTTGTGCGTTTCATCGTTTGGTTTGAAATTGACCTGGATAAACTTGGCCGGAGAAGACGACCGGGGAGACTGGTGCGATTACAGTGCTTCTTGTTGGGTTTCTTTGGTTTGAACCTGTTTGCGCACTTCGTTCTTTTTCTGAAAGTGACCAGGAATCGTCGGGGTTAAACTCCGGCTTGCTGGAGTTTGGAACCGCCTGTAACTACCTGCTTCCGGCTATTGTCAAGCCACCTTCTGACGCCTTCTGCCTTCGCCGTTTGGGGTCGCCGGAGTCAAACGGGGGTGGAGGGTGGAGGGTGGAGGGGGGAACACCGGGTTGGCTTTGTTACGTCTCCATCTGGATACTTTGGTAGTGCCTCCGTTCTCCGGACACCGGAAAACCTGGTAGGTGACGGTACCAGGTGGGGGGTTTCGGGGGGGGGGGGTAGAGTGTTGACCGTTGCAGGTTCACTGACTGGTCAGTCTGTCCGCTGACTGACGTGTACGGCGTGCGGCGCTGGTTGGTTTTGGCGCCCTGCTTGCTGAGGCGTTCCTGATGCGATGGAACATGGGCTGTTGCCCTAATCCTTGATGGGCCGCTGGTCTGGTGACTCTGCTAGGAAGTTTTTGGGGCCTGGGACGGACCAGGTGCCCCTTTTTGCTGGAACTGGACATTAAGAGCTGAAGGTTGGATGCTACCAGGGATGGGCCTTTGTTGGTTCAAATGTGGTTTTGATTTCTATTTTGATACTAAGCCGGGGAATTGTCCCGAGCTAGTTTGGATTTATTTTTGTGTCACGTGCCGGGGTCTGTCCTGTGCCATTTTGATTAAAATCTCTCTCTCCCCCCTCTACCGAGAGGTAGGGGGGGATACGTTAGATACTATTTTAGTTTAGCATGCTAGCTTAGATAGTTCTTTTGATTTTTTTGACGCATTGTATTATGCTTTTTTTTCCTGGATATATATACTTACATTTTATCCAAAAAAAAATAAATGATGACACTTCATCTTTGGGGCCTCCTGGACCTGATAATGAAATTAATGATATTATAATTATTTGTGTGTTTCATAAAACTCCAAAACAGAAGAATCATAAATGTTTATAGTGGGTGTTTGGATCTACTTCTTAAAACTATTTATGTTCCCTAAGATTGCAAAAACGTATATTGAAGTGTTTGGGTGAAATGGTAGAAGTACCTCTAAATGTCCATATAATTCCTAGAAACAGTTTTTTAGAAGTTCGGGAAAACCAACTTCTGAAAAACTGAATCGGTTTTATGTCTTCTTTTAGAAAAGAAGAAGAAGTGGAATCAATTTTAAACACATACAGAAAGTATTATAATGTATTAAAATGTCTATGAACTTCTGACCATATTATTAGTGGTGTTGAGAACAAACACTTTATAAGAAATTAAAAATAAATGGATAATTTCCATTTGGTTTTATAAACGTTGATGTATTGTGATATTTTGAATTTAGAATAAATAAGAGTAATTGTTTTAATTTTGTGAGATGAAAAATGAATTTGTATTTTTGAAATAAAATTGTCTCTAATCTATTAAAATTCTTTATCTTTATTAGGCGGGTTTTTTTCAAATTCAGTGAAGGAAATTGTATATGGACTTATGGTAAGAACGACCAACTATAATTACCTCCTAATCTCACTCACGTAGATAATATTTTTTACGTAGTAATTTATGACTTTAAAATTTACCAAATTGGTGTCTATTACTTTAAAGAAAAATACCCATTGTATGTGGACTTATGATAAAAATGTAATTAAATGTTTCTGGAGGTTGGGAAATATTTTCGAGATAATTACATATACATGACCAAGAGCATCTAAAACGCCACAATGTGTACAATAGACATGTTGAATGAGAGAGATAGACACATGGGCGGATCATTGTGAGGGCAAGGGTGGGCTCCAGCCCAGCCCAAGTTTTATTTATTAGTATAGGTATAGGTTTAATATCCAGCCCACCTCAAAATTAATATCCAACCAACCCCAAAATTAGAGAAAAAATTCACTAATATTATTCCTGGAAAACTGGTTGACAAAAATGTGAGTTAGTAACATTTAGTGTCTATAAGTGTATACAAAATTACTATGGTATAGTTAAGGTGATGTAAAGTTTGAGTACGATTGTAGTCACTAAAAGTTACTAAGTCACATTTTGGTCCATTGCTTTTTATTAGTAATATTTTAGAAAAAGTTACTAAGTTACATTTTTGTCTATTACTTTTTATTAGTAATATTTTATAAATAATGATTAGAGAATGATTTATTTATTATATTGAAGGTTAGAAAATGGTTTATTTATTGTGTGAAATATGTAAGAAAGAATTAAAATTTTCAATTAAATATTAAAATTGGGAATACTAGCTTTTGATTCATATATACTAATATTGAAAATGTTTTTTAGAATAGATAATGAACATATTGCTAAGAAAGAAAATGAAATGAACATTTACCTAGCTAGTATGAAATGGAGCTCGAGTTAAGCTCGATAGATTTTCAGTGTACTATATTAACGCTTGATAAAAATGCTCGAATGTAAAAGTTTGGACTATATTGGTTAATAGATTCATGTTCGAATTATGGAATAAAAACTCGAATGTATAGTCAATTTCTGATTACATCGAAAACTTAATGTTTTGATAGGACTCATGGGATGATTATGCTCCGGTTGAAATTACCCATGATCTCGCATAATCCTAGAGTGCTCTTATTCTTGCTTTGTACTTCATTTGCATAATTGCATTAAATGTTGAAGTAGAAAATACTTGTTTGAGTTTGTAAATCTATTTCCGACATGGACACACTCAAGTACAACTCCTATGGTGTTTCCTTCTTTGTCTCTCATTGATGCCATAATTATAATCCGAAAACTTTCGCTTTTGGCGTATTTCTTATAAAAACCACACACTTTATTTCGCCCAAAAACAACATACCAACCTCAAACACATTTCAGGGTATATAACCATCTACATTCTTATTTACAATATTTATTGCAAGTATACTTCATTTGCACATAATATAAACATAACAACTTTTATGTACACAAGCAATGAACATGGAACACTTCAGCGCGATAAGTTTTGTGTACACAGACATTAAAGTACAATATTTAGAGTCAAAACTTCCGTATACAGTTTGTATGTACACAGACAACAAACAACTACCTTTAACGTTAAAAGTTTTATGTACACAAACAACGCTTATATAGCACTTTAATGTAGCAAGTTGTTCATACACAGGTATGAACAACATACATTACTTCTAAACAGATTGAAAATGAGAAATGTCTGTGCATGTAGAGATACATCACTTGACTACGCATTAGGTGCACCACATTCGTAGGTACCAAGATCATTATCACACTTAACCCATTGTACGTCCCCAGCGCCTCCATATGTCGTTCTCATCGTTGTGCTCCACCGCTAGTGGTTGTGAGCCAAACTCCTCTCCTACGGGTGTAATAAATACCCCCATGTCGTAACTACTAAGAAATGACATATTCTCAATACATTGGAGCACCATCAATGATTTTTATCCTCTATCATCCGTCGTTGAGCAAAGAAGAGACGAAGTGTGCCAAGAAAGTTTCGTGAATAGTGCACATAAAATAAAATGACAACTAGATTCTCATCCGTGCGATGCATGGAACAAAATCTAATGAAAAGATATCATATTTTTGCTCGCATTAACAATAACATCGATCAAAATTTCATGAAATCAAAATTATAAATGATTGAAAAGAGTAAAGAGTTATATAATAAATTGTTATAATTAAGATGGAAGACAATGAGTTAATTCTTACAATGTTTTGGAAGCGCGTAGAATGTCAGCATTATATAATTTTTAATTTTATTCTTCATTTACTTCTTTTACTTTCGTTGTTTCAAATATCACCAGCTAAAATCCAACTCCCTTTGATGATGAAATGATCTTCCTCCTCCTATTTGTCTTCCTTTATTCGAACTCCTTTGATGGTTTATCCACTTATCTTCTTTTTTTTCATTATTTTTTGTTGACTTAGCATCATAATCATTAACACTATTCTTGAAAGGCTTTATGTGATTACATTATCACCCGCATTTTGATTTTTGAGTTTTGTGTATTACTAAAAAAGTTTTCATTGAAATGTCTAACATTAAACTGTAACTTTTTTTGTGGCAAAACGTTAAATTGTACTACCTCCGTCCTAAAAAACTGTCAGTTTCAAAATTTTGATCAACTATATTTTTTTTATTGGAAATTATTTATAATATAAAAACTATATGAAAATGTTCTTTGTTAAAAGTACTTTCATAAAATATAAAATTTATAACTTACATAATATTATACTCCCTCGGTCCCCCTAACTTTTTCCCGTTTTACCTTTTCCGTCCGTCCCATTAAGTTTGTGTCATACCATATTTGATAATATTTGAGTGGTTTGAATCCATTCTTACTTTATTCAAACTTTATCAATTCAATACCAACAACACAATTCTACTTTTTCTTAAAAACCACACTACACCTCTTTGCCCAAACTTAGACGGACGAAGGTAGTACTAATCAAAGATGGTTCAAATTTTTTAAATGATAAAGTCTTTTGGAATGGAGGTAGTAAGTTAATTAATATAAAATGATGGAGACGTGAATTAACCACGAAAGATTTGAAAAGTATAATTTGTCCAAAATGAGGTCAATGAAAACAACCCAAACTCAGAGTTGATGTTTAAAATGTGATATGCAATAATAAACAACAAAACATTCATATTTTAAAACAAACCCCAAAAGATGTTGAAACAACCCATCATTTCATTATGATTTAACCTTTCTAGAACGTTCCGTGGGAAAATTTATTAAGTACAGAGTGTATCTCTTATAATCATTCAATCTATAAATATTAAAAGAAACCTTGATTAGCAGCAAGTTTTAAATATTTAATCAATACAAAGATTATGCATTTAAAAATTGTAAAAGAGATTAAAACAAACATCTAATTTAAAGGGATTCACTAACCATTTCAACTCTGGATGTTAAAAATAATCAACTTCGGAGTTGTACGTATTCAAAAGTTTGCAAACAACGAACCAGCACAGCCACTCAAAAGTTCGCAAACCATTCATCAAAAGTCAATCCAACCATTCAACCAAGAGTCTAAAGAAAATTCAAAACAGTTTGCGACCCAATCACTCCAGCGCACTGCTATTCCTGGGCATTTAATTAAAAATAGCCATCTCTGTAGTAGTAGTCCAAAGCAACTGTCCATGTCGCCCATACAATGCCCATGAGTCCGCCTGCTAGGGTTTAGCATTAGTCACCGGATCAAAGCTCAGCCTTGAAACATGTCGTTCCTTGGGTATCGGCGCCGCACCAGAGAGGCGGGCCCATCAAAATTCAAAAATCAAACTTACTTGTTGATCAAGATCTGTCATATTCGCCAGCATGCCTGTCGGTCAAGCATACCCACCCACCTCGTCTGGTTCTGGTGACACTCGGCGTTTACGGTGGTACGGAAGTAGGTAGGGCTAAGCAAAAACCGACCCGACCCGAAAAACCCGATTTTTTTTCCGGGTTTTATCCGAATGGATATGGATATCCGATCCGACTATCCATATCCGAAAAATTATATGGGTTTGGGCGGGTACCGGGTTGCGGGTAGGGTTTATAAAACCCTAACCTGATCCGCCCGAAAAATCCGACATACCAAAACGACGTCGTTTTGGATTTTATATATATACCTACGTATAACTTTTCTACCCGGCCTAACCCTATCCGCCTCTTCGATCTGTCTTCTACTCTTCGCTCTATCCTCTCTCTAACTCTCTTATGTCTGAACCCTTACTCTCCTCTCTCGGTCTTTGATTTCCTTCTTCAATTACTTCTATAGTTCTATACTTCTATTTGGTATTTTGGTGGAAGCTCTCACACAGAAAGGCACACAGTCTTGCTGATTCGCTGAAACCCTAATCGGTGGAAATCGTTCTTCGATCATTTCAAACTTTGTAGTCTATTGCATTGTCTCTGACTCTGAGGTATTGATATCTACGGTTTTGTTGTGAATTTGTATT